TCTCTCTCTCTCTCTCTCTCTCTCTCTCTCTCTCTCAGTCCCATGAAATCTATTCTAATGAGGGCACGTACTCAGACGTTTTGTGCGGTCGCTCTGTGCGGTCACACCATTTCGTGACGCTGGCAAGCACAGCCTGGCGAGTAATAAATTTCCTGGTTAGGGCGTTTTGCGCTGTCTTTTCCCCCAATTATCTACTCTGTATTGTTTGCGCTGCTTTTCTATCGTCTTCTTGCCCTTTCGTGCGGTATTATTCTTGGCTCTCTTTTTTTGGCGAATGGTTGTTGAAAAAATACTACCGGATCTGACACAACATTTCTGTCTTTCTTTCATGCTACCATTCTTCAATGGATAGGTGCTCAAGGTAAGATTCGTTTATATCTGTATCTTGAGGTTTTTCTCTCTTGTGCATGGCAGTTCATCGTAAATACGTGTAGATCTTTTATGTAGTGTTTGTCGACTGCCCACCCTCCACGCCTGTTGTGCTACCAACACCCGCATGTCGAAAGTGTTTATGCGCGTGCACAGAGTCCATTCCAAACGTAATGTTGAAGGGGAGGTGGATGGACGGCTGCGCCACTCCGTTCGCTGTGCCTCTATGTCCACCCCTCCCTTGCCTTGGTCCCCGTTGTGTTGGTAGAATGCCAATGGCGTCGTTTGTACGCTGTGCAGCCGTCTCTCCTCTCTGCTCCTTCCAATAACTCCCCGGGCAGGCCGCACTGCAATCTTTACCCCCCTTCCTCTCTCTCTCCATCTCTCTTTCTCGCTCTGTTTCGTACTAGCACTACTTCAGATTCAACCCCAAGCCTCACCAGCTGCTCTCTCTCTCTCCCTCCCTTTGCCCTTTGCCCACCTCTCCATGCCATTCTTTTACTTCCAGCACTGGTAGGTCCGGTGCTTGATCTGCCGCTCGCTCTAGGCAGACCAACAGGTACCCTAACAGGACCTTAAAGGCCTCCCCCTCCTCCTTCCCTTTTCTCCCTCTTCCTTTCTCCGCCACTCGACCCTAGAGCCCGCGGGGCGAGGCACTCTACCACAGCACGATGCCGGAAATTGCACGCCTTCTTTCTTCGCCGCCAGGCTGTGCCGCTGTCCGGCCATCTCCATACGATCTGGATGGAGCGGGGGCTTCTTGCGCCTCTCGCCAAGGTCGCCCCCTCCGAGGGTAGAGTGGTGCAGCCCCGGGGCTACCGCCCGCTGAATACCAAGTAGCCCCCGCTAATCTAGCGCCGATTGCTGCTTTATTTTTAAGTCTTGTTATCATATTATCCTCATTATTGTATTTTAATCGTATCGCGTTGGTTGGCGTGTTGAAGCCCCCCCCCCCCTTCCGTATCGTGTTTTCACCGCGTCCCCCTTCGGGCCAAGGCACTCGGACGGCCGAGCACACTGGCGGGCACACTGCCCGTAGGGGCGGGCGAGGGATGGGGCGGGGGCCCCTCGTATACTCGCCCCCCCCCCCTCCCCATCAGAGCCAACTTTCTAAACTTTCCTAAACGCGCTTGCTCTCACCATAGTTGGCTCGGGACGGCTGCCTGGGCCAGGACGCCGCCGCACGGGACGAGCTAATCCTTGACGAGTTCCAGCCGCGAGCTGGGCCTGGGGCCGGGGGTAGGGGTGAGGCTGGGAGCTGGGGCTGGGGGCTGGAGCTGAGCTAGGGGCTGGAGCTGAGCTAGGGGCTGGAGCTGAGCTAGGGGCTGGAGCTAGGAGCTAGAGCTAGGAGCTAGAGCTAGGAGCTAGAACTCGGGGCTGGAGCTAGGGGCTGGAGGGGCTGTGGCTGGAGCTGCGGATGGAGCTGGAGCTGGGCCTAGAGCTGGAGCTGATGAAGCGCGGCTGAAACTGGGGATGGAGCCGGGAATAGGCCACGCCGAGTTACCTTCCGCCCGCATCCACCCGGTTTTATATTATGCTTCCCAATCAGGGTATTTCTGTTTACCGTTCTGTAATGCCGTGCACGGTACAACACTTTCAAAGTACGGAGGTGCGGAACTGTTTTCAACGATACCTTCCTTATGGGTTGATTTCGAAAATATTTGAACGCAGCTCTAATGCTGCCGCGTAGGGGAAGTAGTAATATCTGTTGATAGGTGGCCTCTAAATCGCTCTTCTTCTTAACCCGCAGTTCAGAGAGAATTTTCTGCGAAGCGGAAGTATTCCGTCTCCAAACAATGACGGGATTTTTGCACGCCCCCTCTGCTGGTGAGCAGCAGGCACAGTGTAGCATAATGAAATTCATAATCTAGCCGCTGGAGGGAAGACACCCCCAGGCCCGCTCCACCCACCCCACCGCGCCCCAACGCCCGCAGGACCTGCCTGCCGCTGTGTTTGTGGATGGAAACCAGGCTACACTGTCTCGCCGGCGTGTGTAGCCTGTCAGGCCGGAGCGACCCCCCCCCCCCTTTCCACTCGACCCGTCCAACTTATCGCGATACCCACGCGTCGTGTTGGCACGACCACCTTCTTCCACCCCTCCCCCCCCCCCCTTTTCTCCCTCGCCTCCGAGGAAGGTCTTGCGGTCCTGTTGCACCCGTCTGCATGCCAAGCAGCAGAGGAGTGTATGGTGAGGCGAAGGGATATTGAATAGCAGTCAAGCGCCTCATAAATGACGTATTTTTTCCTGGCTAATCCTCTATCTTGCTTGTGACGCCAGGCGTAGGCGTGGTTCCTTTTTTTTCCTCGCTCCCGCGCGGTGTTTTCACATGGGTACGTCCGCCCTCTCATAGAGACACAATTGCTGTGGTCTATGTCATACTTAGCTTAAGTACAACTATGAACATAACGTACTCACAATTTTAAGCGATATTATGCAGAATTACGTACAATATTGTACATGGTTACGGACAAATTTTGTACGTAGGTTATGTATGTTGACAGTTGTGCGTAGCTACGTGCAAAATAGTACATAGTCAGTCAGTGTCAGTCTGAAGTATACTTCGGATAGGACGGGTAGGCCCCATTCCCCATTCACTAGAGTGGCGTAAGGGGGGGGGGGTAGCGGAGGTAGTAGCCGCGCCGCATTCCCGTCCGGTAAGTTTCGGAAGGGGCGGTGCCGAAGTTTTCGCCGGCAGCAGCAGCAAGGGAAGCAGGGCGATAGAGGCAGCAAGCGCCTTTGCCGCGTATCCGTCTGCTTGCCGCCGCCGCCGCCGCCCCCACCGGCCGGCCCGGACTGTTTTGCAAAGATAAGCAAGAAGGGGGAGATGGTTTTTGCTGGATAGTTTCTTTTTCGCAAGCAAGAAAGGAGGGTTTTTAGGGCGGTTTTGCACGTCGTGCAAGCTCTCTAGCAGCGGCAGCAGCTCCTGCTCCACGCCGCAGTGCACGGAGCGGTAGAGCTGCGCCAGCACAGCGGAGCACAGCGGAGCACAGCGGCACTGAATCAAGATGGAAATTCAGTGCGGCCGCTGTTTGCCATCCCCGCCTGAGCTGGGGAGCGCGCGCGTGCGTGAGTGTGTGCGTGTGTGTGCTTGCGCGTCTGGAGGTAGCAGCGCGCAGCAGTGTGGGCCCGGCCGCCACCACCCCCCTTCGGGTGGGGGCCGCGCCAGCTGCGTTATTCGCCCCCCCCCCCCTTGCTGAAATATGATTTCTTTGCTCAAATAATTGCTAATACAGCCGGACCGGAGCGGACCGCACCGCCGGCGGCGCCGTGTGAGTGAGGTCGACACTGTTTGCCCGGACCGTCCGTCCGTCCGTCTGTCTGCCCTCTGAGCCGTGCGGGTGCGGCTGCCTACCCTACCTCCCCCTGACCCCCTGCCCAACGTAAACTGCCGCGCGTTAGCTAGCCCAGGAATATGTTGTTCCGTAAAGTTTTTCAAAAATATATTATATTTTTTCAAAACTATATTATACTTTCAAAACTATATTATATTTTTTCAAAACTGTATTATGTTTTAAAGGAAAAAATATCCCCCCCCCCCCTTTCCAAACGCGTGACGCAATATGTTGACGACCCCGCCTCCTACCCTTAAAATGGAGCATCTGCTAATAAGATCTCCACTGAAAAAATAGAATTCTTATATCTCTAGTTTCCTTTTGGTTCGTTTTTCGTCGTCTCTGCTGCTCAACGCCCCTAGGGTTCTCTGTCCTCCAAGGCACCCTCCGTTATTTTACGTTTGTTTTTTCAAGTTTTTTTTTAGTCCCGTTTTGATTCATCCGGGTTTGGCCGTCCCGTCGCTTTCACGAGTCCGCGGGGGCCCCTGATAAAGGCCACGCCCCAGCAATGGCACCCTCGGCGCGCGGCGCGGCGTGGCCTGGCGAGGGGTAGGCGGCCCAACTTAGCGGCGACATGCACTTGAGACTTTGCGCTCTGGCTCTGACCTCCCTTCTCCTCCTCCTCCTCCTCGTCCTCTTTCCCGACTCTTCCACCAACTCGTCCCGTCCGTCCTCGTTTTGGTGTTTCGAGCTGTTTTGCCGTATAGTTCGACCGGACAGCGCCTCGCTGCATTTCAGTCCTCGCGCTGCTTCTGTGCTGGGAAAGGGGGACGGACGGACGGAGAGTTAGGAGTGCAAGAGAGGCCGAGGGAGAGAGAGTACCCCTTGGCAGTATCCCTCGCCCGGGCCGGGGCCCGGCGGGCGCGCGCTCACTCTGGGTAGCCGGGGCTGCTCGCTCGCCCAATCCTAATGCATTGCAATGAAAAAGTTTGGGCGCGTGGGGGTTTCCTCCGGTTCCCTCCGGCGGCCGCGGCGTCTTCGTGATGGAAGTTGCTAATATTGTCAAGTCCCGTCCGCGGGCCGGTTTACAATTTCATGAAAGGGATGATGGCTGGCACGCCGCGGTGCCTGCAGGCGGGCAGAGGGCTTATCAGGGGCTTAACAGTGCGTGTGGTGTGATTAAATCAGCTGCCACTGGGGAAAAAAACAAAGGCGAGACTTTGCACTACACTACACTACACCTTTATAATTTTTGGATATCTCATTTTATATTTCAAATTCGCATTGTGTCATGGAAAATTCTCTTTTTCATCGCGAATCCTCTCTGTGGCCTCCGGGTTTGTTTCATTGTGGTGGAGGCTCGCGCTGCCACTGGAATGGCACGGAGAGCTCCGGAGGGGGGGGGGGTGGAGGGGTAGGAGGGGGAGTGGTCTGTGGCGCCTGCTCCTCGGCCTCGTCTCTCGCGTCTCATTGGAAATTCTTGTGATGCTTGGTCGTGTTTATGCACAGACCCGAGTGGATTCTCACGTCCGATGCGCCGGTCGTGCCACGCCACGCCACGCCGCACTAAGAAGGGCCGCCAGAGGGGCTGGCTGGCTGGCAGGAGGGGAGGGGGCGGGGGCGGGAGAGAGAAGGGCGGAATTGGTCGATATCGCGATGGGCGAGCCGAACCCGATTTATTTTCTGCCGAGCGCCAAAATGAATCGGAAACTTTTCGCA